TTTCTAGGTGCTTCACCATTCTTCTGATAATCTTCTCCATAACCTTACATACTATTCATGTCAGTGATACTGGTATATAGTTTAACGCTGTCTCCGTTCTTAAAATTTGGGACTACATGCGCTGTCTTCCACACTTCTGGTAGTTATTGTGTAGATGGACTTGAAGAGTGTTGCTAGTGGTGGGCACAGTCAGTTCCTCTGTTTCCTCTCAGGACCCACGGAGAGAGAGAGATTATCTGGTCTCTCGGCGTTCGAGGGATCTAGCTCACACAGTAGCTTCTTCACCTTATGTCCAATGCTTTGGTTCACCATTAGCCTTCCTGAAAATACCTCCCTAAATTTCTTGGCGAGTTCCTCATAGACTTCCTGTTCATTCCTCGTGAGCTCCCTTCCTTCTTCAGCCTGATTACCTAGTTCTTTGCTGTTGTCTTCCTTCTGATGTGGCTATATAACAGCTTTGGGTTGGATTTAGTTTTCCAAGATATGTCATTCTCAAATTGTCGTTAAGCCTTTCCTCTTAACCATTCATAATCTTTTCTGGCTCTTCGGCTCAATTCTTTGTTTTCCTGAGTTCTTTGCCTTCTACATTTTTTCTATGTTCTAGCACATTTAGCTTTGACCTCTCTACACCTCTGGGTAAACCTATTCTTCCCATTGTTTCTTTTGTTACTGGGTATGAACTTCTCCACCTCCCTGTACTTTCCTGCCACACGTGTCTGGGACACAACACAGTTCAACAGCTTCCCATCATGCATAAGGAAAATTACCATTATTTTAACCCTTGGCTATCTTCAAGAAGGAACTGGACAGATACCTAAGGTCAGTGCCCGATCAGCTGGACTGTGGTTTGTACGTTGGATTGTGTGGGGCCAGCAGCAACAGCCTGGTTGATCAAGCCGATTCACAGGAAGGCCTGGTCAAGGACTGGGCCGCGGGGGCGTTGACTCCCGGAACAATCCCCAGGTAGGCAGGTAGCCTAACCCAACTTAGAAAAAGGTTTGCAAAGCCTATGTGAAAATGTGAGTTATTGGGAGGACGGGTTGGGAGAGCCTCTCTCTCTCTCTCTGGGTTGGCGAGGTATAATTTTCTTGTGGAAGTTGGAGTTGTGAACTAATAACAGAGACTTATTTTATTCTCTAAGTAATATTTCAGTCTACCTAGTAGCCAGCTACCTTACTAATTCCAAGTAAACTCAATCACCCCGAGTTGTATCCCTGAATAAGTTTAGAAGATATTTTTCAGTAAATATAAGAATGGAGTTTGTTTATACAAGTCTTTGACTCTCAATATTAATGTTATTCCCCAAGTGGTCAGTAATTTTATAACTTTAAGGAAAAGTTGTGAAGAAGTATTGTTTTGGGAGGCTTGAGGGTGAGAGATTATCCTTGTTCACCCCGGTTATCTTACAACTCACCTACACTCATTATAATCTCTCACTCACCTACACTCATCATAATCTCTCACTCACCTACACTCCCAACAATAACATACATCCTACTGTTTAAAGCGTGAAGCAGAAGGATTTGAGGAGGATGGTAGTGGATGTCCGGGGTGTGTATTGGGGTGGGGAAGACCCACACACCCCTGGTCTAGGGGATGACTGTACCATGTATGGAGGGTCGATATGTCTGGCTGATGGCGGTATGCACCTCAGGCCACCCTGTGTGTCTAGCGACCTGCGTGTCTAGTGACCTGAATGTAGGTACCCGTGTGTAGTGTTCTTCCTACCTCCTGGACCAATCATTTCAGCCTGATACATTTCAACCAATCTCCTTAACTAGTTGTCTTTGTAAACTCATGAAAGAATAACACTTAAACTGGCACTCAAACACCAACTCTCGCCTCATCTCTACGGTATTATGAATGGAAAAAAAAATGCGCAGGTATTACCACTTATCACATTGAACACACCTCTAGTAGTATGATCACATCCTTTCATCTCTAATCTGCATTTGACATCGTAAACTGAACCGTTACATTACATGAACTGTCACAATGAATATTAGTGGTAACCTGTTCAGCTGGATAATAGGTTATTTGTCAAATACAATATTCTCTGTTCTTTACCAAGATGAGTTCCGAAAGTTTCGCTACTCCCAGAACCCGGCCCTGGGCCAGGCTCGTCTGGTGCTTGCCTTCTCAACCAGGCTCCTGCTGCTGGCTGCCCATTGACCCACTCTTCCATCACAGCCTGGTGAAGATACCTGTCCTCTTAGAGACTTGCATACTTGTCCCAGCAGTGTTTCTGATATCTTCTGTTTGAGTAGTCAGGGGTCATTGACATTGATGCAGTGTTCCCTTATTGTGCTCACTGCGCCCCTGCTTTTCGCAGCTTTATTTTGCAGTATTTTATGGCAGTGTGGAGATTTGGGACCAGGCCCTCAAGTACTTTCCTGGTATATATCATGTTTGTCTCTCTCCTCCGCTCTAATGAGTATATATTTATGAGTTTATGGCGTTCCCAGTAATTTAAGTGATTTATTGGCTATATGTGGGCCGTAAAGAGCCAATAAAGAACGTCCCTAGGTACGCCACAAGGAGCTCTCAGTTACGTGCTATATAATATCCTGGCCACAACCCCAACTATGGTGCTAATGGGACAATAGTGAGAATGATGTACATAGCCTATATTAGATCCTTAATTGATTATGCTGCGCCCATGTTGATATTAAAGAAAATTCACTGCGGCCCTTGGAGCTAATGCAAAATAAAACACTCAGAATTATTCTTGGCTGTCCTAAAACTACGAAGGTTCTTAATAGGAGGAAGGAGCCTACTTGGTATTAGAATATTAAGAAATGAACCACTGTTACTATGGAACTTATTAAATGTTTAGAAGTTAATAAACACAGATCTAAATGGGTTTTAAAAACATTCAATTATATTAAGTTTTATAACTTGCAAGAACTATAGACAGCAAGAACATTTCACCCCTCCATGGAAGATGTGTTCATTTAACATCACAGACCTGCAAGCTTCTCCCAAGAAGCTCAGCACTAGTAATCCCTTCCTTAAATTGTTTGCTAAGGCAAAGGCAACTGCTTAAGAAGAAAACTCAGTTTTAACTAAGTAACAATTTATTACAGATTATATACAGTGATAGATCTATGCCGAAGTCTACTGGCATTACGTAAATAACTCGCACTTGGCTAATGAAACTTATGACGACGTTTCAGTCCAGCTTAGATCATTAATTAGTCCTTAGATAACAACCATAGCAACCACACTGAGTTAGGCCTAACAATGAGTAACTCAGCTTCTACTGAATCGGTTTCAGGTATTAATACATACCTGAAAGTGTACTATTCTGCTACTCTTTTGTATTAATGCATACTTAAAACTCTTCCACATAATAACCTATATGTAGTCTTTAAGGTAGCAGGAAATGTCATAAGTTTATTTTGTAATAAAGTTGGTAGAATTACCGACAATATGTAAAGTAAAAGGACACAAGTGCAACTAATGTGACATTTTATTGTGGCAACGTTTCGCTCTCCAGGAGCTTTATCAAGCCATTGATAAAGCTCCTGGAGAGCGAAACGTTGCCACAATAAAATGTCACATTAGTTGCACTTGTGTCCTTTTACTTTACATAAGTTTATTTTGGTGACATTAGGATGGTAAGCATTACAGACAAGCAAACTATTTCATTCTGCAGTATACAAACTGTAATTCACAAGTAATAAAATATTGTTGAGCACAAAGAAAGTCATTAGCATGCATGAGCATTTCAGGCAGAATAATACTAATACTTACTGCTTAAAATCGCAGTTCTTCAGTAATTTACGTCTTTTAGCAGTTTTGCTTTTCTCTCTTTGGTCCCGTCGTTTATTATGTGATAAGTGTGTTTACATTACTGCCATCAATGTCAGAAGTGTTGCTGTATAGTACACTTAGATAGTCCCAGCTACTTTACAGATATGTTCTCTTGCTAGCCGTGACGTCACGAAACCCATCACATGTGAACAGTAGACCAGAGGCCTCACGGTTAGATTCCCGCTGGACAAGGCAAGGCTCATGAGCTTCTCAAAACTCTCTCAATTATACGCCTCCAAGACATCCAACGTGTATTTCTTACTCCAATATCGCCTCATAAACCCCCGCGACATCAATGATCACCATATGAGAGAAAATTATTAGAAGCACAGCTTTAATTTCAACATTATATTACACAAGTGCATAAAAATCTGTAATACCTTATGTAGTAAGCCAAATAAAGCTTATCTCAGCTTACTTTGAATTTCTAGAATTTTTTTTAAGACAATGGTGTAGTGCAACATAGTGGTGTTGGGCTAGTAGTCAAAGCTCTCGCCTCGCACACTGAGTGTCAGTGCTTCAATCCCGGGCCAGATGGAAACATAGGCGTGTTTCCTTACACCTGCTGTCCCTGTTCACCTAGCAGATAACATCCAGGTATCTACCTGGGTGTTAGTCGATTAGCGTGGGTGGCATCCTGGGGGACAAGACTGAAGGACCCCAATGGAAATAAGACAGTCCTCGATGACGCACTGACTTTCTTGGGTTATCCTGCGTGGCTAACCCTCCGGGGTGAACAAAATCTTATCTTTTATCTCGAGGAAACCTAGACGTTCTAGTTTAACACGGTCCCAGGAAGGATATACGGTACAATAATCTGGAGAGTCGTGGAGACAACTCCAGATTATGTACTGTTTATTCTTCCTAGGACTGATATTGATTCTCCGCTTCCTGGCATTCCTTCTCAGCAAAAACAAAAACAGTGGAACTACAGAGGGACTGTTTTATAGCTACGGCAACCAAATATTCACTGCTTTAGTTACCCTTCTAACGAATTGAAAACTCCTTCACACGCTGTTTTCTTTTTCAGAAAACGGATGAACAATGTGATTAAAGAAAACGTTAGCAAGAAACTTAATTAAGGAACACTAATCTAAACTATGAAAATGTAAAAGTTAGAGATGCGAGAGTGGAAGGAGAAAAGAGAGGGAGGGAGAGGAAGTATGCCTGGTATTCACACTTACCGTCATTGTGGGTGAGGTAAGCGTAGACGACATTGACTGCAGCCTCTGGGGTGAGTGTGTCCCAGAGGCCGTCACAAGCCAGAATGAGGAAGTCCTCGTCACCTTCAATCTCCAGGGACTTGATATCGCACTCTGACGACACGTACGGTTTGTATTCCCGGTCACCTGTTCCAAGTAAATAAGAAAATTTTCGTTTAAGCAATTGGTGCACAATTTATTTTTGCAATGTTCCAAGGCACTTACTTATAATATACATTATAAGTAAGTTTATTCAGGTACACATAAGTTACATAATTTATCATGTAGATTTAGTTAATAATAAATTACTAAATTCAGTGACTTGCTTCCATTGATTTATCATCATAGCTTATATCTGTTACAAACAAGTTATTGTCACAGCTAACACCTGTCAGAAACAGGTTATCAACACAGCTAACACCTGTAACAAACACACAGTATCAACAAACACCTGCAAACACTGGTTATCACCTGTCACAAACACAGGTTATCAATACATCTAACACCTGTCACAAACACTGATTATCAACACTAACACCTGTCACAAACAGGTTAACACGTCTAACACCTGTCACAAACACAGGTTATCAACACAGCTAACATATGTCTACCAAGCAAGGGTTCACACCATGAAGATTGTGAATTCAGTGTTTCTTGCTTACTCACTTTCTTGTTCTCTTGTTTACTTCATCTCTTGCTCACTTGCTCTCACATTCGCTCACTTGCTCACTCTCGCTCACTTGCTCTCTCGTTTTCAAACTATAACTGGCCGTTAATGCACTTTTCTGAAAGCTTAACGTTACCTCTTATCTTTTAGTTTAGTTCCGCATGAACATTAATAATAAAAACGTAATTAGAAAACGGGATGCGAGAGCAAGTACCGCAAAGAAAGACTAAAGAAAATTGATCTGTCTCTCAGAAATGTTTTGGTATTAAAGAAATTAAAAATAAAAATGTTGATCGACGTTTGGAGGCGGAAGTACAGTAGATGTTAAAGGTAAATAAAAAATTTTTGTTTTTATACTGGGTCATTGTTGGCACAGAATTCCGTAAATTAAAAATAAGCAGGTGAGTAGCAGCTTGGCGGTCGAGTTGAATCCTGGGGGAGGCGAAATGCTGCCCATGTCCACCTAGCAGTAAATAGATACCTAGAAGTCTCGTATACCTGCTGCTCATGTTCACCCATCAGTAAACAGGTACCTAGAAGTTTCGTATACCTGCTGCTCATGTTCACCCATCAGTAAACAGGTACCTTGAACTTAATGACATTGGTGTCATCCTGAGAGAGGCTCTGAGGCAGTATATTCTTTCAGTAAGAGGGATTAACATTTGTTTCCCCCTCCATGTGGTGGGTCATGCAAAAGGAGTTGTGGTGCGGCATACCATGACAGATTGTACTTGATACAAGAACATGAAACAAGAAAGTTCCAAAAGCTTAGAAAACTGTTTAGGCTAGAATATCAAATCAGTGCGCAGTTAGTACTGCCTAGGAGTCTAACACGAGTTTTAACCATGTCCGAGCACAGTCATTTGCCGAAATGGGGAGAAGTATGGGTCACTATCCCTAGCGGTTCAATCTGAGAAACATAATTGAGTTTTCTATTATAAAACACGATATTCATGCCCTGCATAATGAGAGTTAAGGACTATACATATTGGATCCTTATTTAGCAGTCAATGGTACACAATCGTCGACAAGGGTGTTGCTTTATTAAGGTCACTGAACTACTCGCTGCAAAGATGCACTCCACTAATTGTTAGTTTTTGAACGGTGTCCCGTAGCTTAATTGCTAGTGCATTCAGCTCACACACTGAGGTACATGGTTCAATCCCCGGTATGGGTGGAAACATTAGGACGTATGTACTTCCTTAAGAAAATAGGTACCTGGGTGTTAGTCGACTAGTCATATCCTGGGGCCAAAATTTACCCAGTTGCCCAAAATGCTTTGAATAACAAGGGGCTTTCTATATAGTAGTATTTCATTGACGTCAGCTAAGCTTGTATACCTTGTATATGTACTTATAGAAAAAAAAATTATTATCAGACCTGGTCATGGACAGGGCCGTTGGGCCGTTGATTGGAGTTATCTAGCTATGATTGGAGTTATCTAGCTTGTGATTGGAGTTATCTAGCTAATGATTTTATTAACGATGATCATACTTATGATTATGAAGGGATCTGCTTTTATGATTGTTTTCTTAATAATGTACACCGTGCCCAGAGTATATACATTCCCCAGAGAGAAATTAGGTCTAATAATAACGATCCCAAATGGGTTAACAGGAGGCTAAAGCATCTATTAGGGGAGAAAAGGGGAATTTATAGGCGCATCAGAGGAGGAGAGGTTAACCTTACTGACCAATATGTTCAGCTTAAAAGAGAAGTAAAAAAGGGGATTAGAAAGGCTAAACGTGACAATGAAATTAGAGTTGCTAATGAATCAAAGACTAATCCAAAGGGGTTCTTTCAAGTGTATAGGACGAAGGTGAAGGAAAAAGTAGGACCTCTGAAAATTGGGAATGGACAGCTGACGGATAACGAACTGGAAATGTGCTCCTTATTTAACGACTATTTTTTGTCAGTTTTTATACAGGAAGATGTAAATGAGATTCCAGTAATTAACGATTATTTAGTTCCTGATGAATTTAAGTTAACTAATATTACTGTCACGAGGGACATGGTTATTAAACAGATAGACAAACTGAAGCAAAATAAGTCCCCGGGACCCGATGAGCTGTTTTCCAGGGTACTTAAGGAATGCAAGATGGAGCTTAGTCAGCCATTAACGAGTGTATTTAATGCGTCCATCCTTACCGGTGTTGTGCCAGAGTTGTGGAAGATGGCTAATGTGGTTCCTATATTCAAATCAGGGGATAAGTCCACTCCTTCAAATTACCGTCCAATAAGCCTGACATCTATAGTGGGCAAGTTATTAGAATCAATTATAGCTGACATTATCAGAAGTCACCTTGAAGAGCATAACTTGATAAATGAATCTCAGCATGGATTCACGAGAGGTCGTTCCTGCCTGACAAACTTACTGACGTTCTTCAACAGAACATTTGAGGCAGTTGACAGTGATAAGGAATATGTTATTGTTTATTTGGATTTTAGTAAAGCCTTCGACAGAGTACCTTACAAGAGACTCTTAAGAAAAGTGGCAGCTCATGGTATAGGAGGTAAAGTTCTAGCATGGATTGAGGCATGGCTTACCAATAGAAAGCAGAGAGTTACCATTAATGGAGTGAAATCTGAATGGGGATTAGTCACTAGTGGCGTTCCACAAGGATCAGTTTTAGGCCCTCTCTTGTTCATAATTTACATTAATGACCTTGACGAAGGGATTACGAGTGACATGAGTAAATTTGCTGATGATACAAAGATCTTTTTTTTTTTTTATCACACTGGCCGATTCCCACCAAGGCAGGGTGGCCCGAAAAAGAAAAACTTTCACCATCATTCACTCCATCACTGTCTTGCCAGAAGGGTGCTTTACACTACAGTTTTTAAACTGCAACATTAACACCCCTCCTTCAGAGTGCAGGCACTGTACTTCCCATCTCCAGGACTCAAGTCCGGCCTGCCGGTTTCCCTGAACCCCTTCATAAATGTTACTTTGCTCACACTCCAACAGCACGTCAAGTATTAAAAACCATTTGTCTCCATTCACTCCTATCAAACACGCTCACGCATGCCGTATAATTCACTCTGAGGAGGATATCAATGAACTCCAGGACGATTTGGACAAATTAATGTCTTGGTCTGAAAAATGGCAGATGAAGTTCAATGTGGATAAGTGTAAGGTACTTGCCCTTGGTAATGAAAATAACCCTCGAAGCTATAATCTAGGTGAAGTAGAGCTTGATCATACAGAATGTGAAAAAGACTTGGGAGTCATGGTAAGCAGAAATCTAAAGCCAAGACAGCAGTGCCTTAGTGTGCGCAACAAGGCCAACAGATTGCTTGGATTTATCTCAAGAAGTGTAAGTAACAGAAGTCCAAAAGTTATTTTACAGCTCTATACATCACTAGTGAGGCCTCATTTAGATTATGCTGCTCAGTTTTGGTCCCCTTACTACAGGATGGACATAGACTCATTAGAGAGCATACTAAAATTATTTACATGACTAAAATGATTTACTGTGTAAGGAACCTCCCGTATGAAGATAGACTTAAAGCCTTAAATCTCCACTCTCTGGAGAGGCGTAGAATGAGGGGAGATATCATTGAAGTGTATAAGTGGATGACAGGCATAAACAAGGGAGATATTAATAAAGTACTGAGGGTGTCGAACCAGGTAAGAACCAGAAATAATGGATATAAGTTGGATAAATTTAGATTTAGAAAGAACATAGGTAAGTACTGGTTTTCTAACAGAGTTGTAGATGCGTGGAACAGTCTTCCTAGTGGGGTGATAGAGGCTAGGACCTTGGGTAGCTTTAAGAAGAGACTGGACAAATATGAGTGGGAGGGGCTGGGTTTGATTGGTGTCACTGGGTACGGGAGTTATTTCTTGGATGGCTTTAGGTAGAGATCGTTTTGATAAGGACCTGCCTCGTATGGGCCAGTAGGCCTTCTGCAGTGTTCCTACATTCTTATGTTATGTTCTTATACCCTCCAGGTAGGTAGACCACATGTCTACTGGCCTGAGCACTCAACTCTTTGGTCTTTGTACAAACGCTGATTTCTCTCATGCTAAAATAGTTGATCTTGCAGGTGAACCTGGGAGATTATGTAACTCAGGATGTGACTGCTGCAGTTTACCCTACGGTTCTACATTCTCTGCCTTTCACACATTACATGTTTTCTTTAGTTAGAGAACAAGGACTTCGATAATGGCAACATGGTTACAACGTCTCGCTACAGCATTTCGGTAGCCATGAACTATCAAGATGTCTGTGGAAAATATTGATAATTTTTCTGCAAATTTGTGTGTAAGAATTGATAGGCATAACATTGTTTATAAAATAGTGTTGGCGTGTATCTTTAATGTGACTTTTAAAAGGTGTTAAGTCACGTGAGAAGCTATATTCTCTAATTTCCTTAAGGTAATCAATTAAGTAAAATGCAATTGTTATAATGTTGGAAAAGCTAATATTCTGCGAAGGAAAATGTACCATACACTTGGAAATGTTACTGAATTTAA